GGAAGAGATTTACCCATGTTGTAGTGCGATCTTTTGGCTTTGATTTTGATGGAAAATGGTGCGATTTTTTTTCAAATCAAGAAATTAGATGTTTTCGAAAGATAAACTGAGCATTGAAGAAGAATTCAACACTTTACAGTGATAACAGTTGATTGTTGAAACGAAATTTACCCATTCATGTTTAGCCACAATAAATATCGTACTCCTTAATAGATGTCAATGACTACAGAAAAACTAAATATAGACTCTAATTCAGGTGTCAGGTATAATTGAAATAATCAAAAAATTATGCCTAAATTAGAGATTTTGTGGTATATAGAATTAAGGTGTGCTAGCTAAGAATATAAAATAAAGAAAACCATATTACAAGTGCATCTAAATAGAAAAACACATTAACGCTTTTATTAGTGCATGGTGGTGTACTAAAATAAGACTAATCTTAACAGGAAACCCTGTGATTTATGTAAAATCATGAACTATGAACAGTATATAAAGTGTACAAGTAATTGTCTAACTATGAAAGCCAATAACATCTCTCAACCCTTGCTAGCACTCACCCATGGGTCCTTTCTGAGAAGCCTTTGACTTTGCTTCCTGTAGCTTCTTCTGTTCTTCCTTCAGTTTTTGCTTGTGAGCGAGGTCATCCTGAAAGGCGACACATTATTCCAATTAAACACAGTATAGTTTAGCATATACACAAAAAATATTCATGTGGAAAGGTCCTGGCCAACTGAATTCATTTTCTCTTGTGAAACAGTTGATGGCATCATATTTAAATTTTTGTTTTAAAAAAAATGGCTGCCAGTTGGACATTCTGAATTGGTCGCAGACAAAATGAAGAGCATTAGTAACCCACCATGTTTGATGTTCTTTTTACATTCGATACGATAGAACTTTGAATAAAAAAAATTGTTTTAAATGTTCACAAACTTCTGTAATTGATTTCTTACTTTAGCCTAGATATTCTCACAAATGGATGATGACATTTAAAAATTTTGAGTTTTTATTTTCAGACAAAATTGTCACCAGGTGCCATTTGGTGAACAACTGAAAACATTTCATGAGCATATTCAAATTATGTTTTGGATTTGCACAACTTTGTATCATATTACAATAACATCAGACACACAGGTGTAATAGATATTGTTTGTAAAAAGTGGAATACTCACATCATCTAAATCTTTCTTGCCTTTCTTTGGCGCTTTTAAAGGCTTCTTTTTACCACCTACAATAAAATTAATAGGTTAAATAGTAATGTACCGGTATTAAACGCTATATAGTTCATCTGAATGTATTCAATTATACTATCACAGGCCACTTATATAGAATTTTTACACTTTTATTAACACATTGCCAGGTGAAACAGACATGACAAAGTCAGCAGGCAATGTATTAGTAAGTCACTAAATACACGTGTCCCAATCCACTATAGCAACACCAATAAATATTTATAAGGCATTCGATTAGATACAACTAACACCCTTCGGCGATCCCATTTTTTAATTGTGATACCAAGGATTTATAAGATTAGGGTATGCGATTTGTGAACAATTTATGGTGATACCAATGTAGACCTCGCAAGACATGAACTCTTATGATTTGCGAATGCTTGAAGCAATCCCATTCCATCAGCGTCAGTCAAACATGGTTCTAACCGATAGAGTATGTATTTTTTCTTTACATTCAAATGTTTGTGATTGTCTTGTTGTTACACTTTGTTTTTTGGTTTATTTGTTACTTTATTGTATTTCCAACCAAGATCCCACTCCCAGATACGGTTTCAGAAAAGATTATTATTACATGTTTTGCGATAAGCAACTCAGGGACAATACCAATATCAGTCTAAGATGAGCATGACTTAGTTCTTTCCATTAATTTGCATTACGATTTCTAAAAATGTAGGTATTTCTTGCAATTTTGTGATTATCTCGCCATTCTTCAATTCGCGCGAGACCTTCATCGCACATCCCACCCTAGCATACAATTATCAGTAATCTCGTAAATCCTTGCTTCTACTCTGTATACTAGATCGACTTGTACAATTCTCGAGTTGCTGATTTTAGCAAGCTGTAGCTCGAGTAGCAAAACTACTACATAGTACTTATCGATAGCGACACCAATAATATAATGTTCCGTATACAATGCATTTTGACACAGTCAAAGGCGCGCCATGTGACTTGCCACAAAAATGAATGAAATATTCGGCCTAGTAGATAGTATGACTAACTTAACAGTTAAATAATAGAATTACAACCCAATACATTCATCCACACGGCTGACTTTCACATTCAGGGCAGTGAGGGCATAAAATAATGCCAAGAAAACGAGACGGGATGAGCAATATTTACCTTCCCGTCCAGACATGTTGTTAGAGATCGATTCAGTGGCTTCTTTAAGGCCCCCTAAGGTATTAGGATAAACAAAACGAGTCCGAAAAAGGATTCGGTGTTCGTTGAAATGCAGCACAAAAGCTCACATTCAGTATTGCATGAGATGATTCACATTTATTAGAAATATAACGCATAAGTAGGTGAGCAGTATATATACTGCACAATTCTAGTTCTGGCGTTAGAACTGCGGTGGCCTAATAATATTTATCGACTTAGGGCAACATGCAATGTGCGCATGCGCGAAGATATTTCAATATGGACGATGGCCGATAAGTAACACTAATTTCTTCAACACTAAGTGACCTAGAGAATAATTATGTGGGAACTGTTTGGTGAACGGATAATATTGTTTTTATCGAATTTCTAATGAAAAGAAGACATTCGACTTTATTAACGACCGACTTGCTGCTGAAAACTATCTTTCGGTTTCCAGCAAAAAATCGACAAACTGTTGTAAACAAAAACTAATCGTGATCTCGTATATTCCATCAGTGAAGTGTCAGATTGTTGTACGTTGGGATCGGAACCAGGAATCTTAACTATCGACCATAGACCATCCAAAAACCATAACAGGATGTTCAAAAACGATTTTCAGGTAAACGATTATTATTGCTAACTTGTTTTCTTCTGGCATTAAATTATTTGAAGACACCCGACGCGTGTAAAATCATGTTGTAGCGTGTTATTGTTGCAAGCTTGCATGGTCTGTTGTAAACGACATGTACTATGCCATCAATATTGTCTTGCATTTGTAGTTCCCAGTGAATTGGTGATATTGCAGTCAGTATAATAATTTTGATGATAATATCAAGGCTGCATGGAATAACATTTTAGTACTTAACTCAAAGTACGTCCTCCAGAGTGGCCATGACCTGTTGGGTTACAATTTTGATTTTAGTGTTTTCTTAATCTTAGAATATTAAGTTGTGTATTAAAATTTTACTTCAGACAGACCTCCAGAGTGGCCATGATCTGTTGGATTACAGTTTTGATTTTAGTGTTTTTTTTAATCTTAGAATAATAGTTGCGTACTCAAATGTTAGTTCAGGCAGACCTGATATTAGCATCTAAATTATTGATCAGTATTGTTGTGTTGTGGAATGTTGAAAGTCCAAAAGTTTTCATACATACAATACGCCCCTGAAACAAATTAGGTGAATAGTAGGGGCGGATGGGATAGATACTGTTGGTGTGATTGAGAGATTACGTATATGGAGATCTGTAAATTTCTCTAAAATCTCACTTCTTATAATATATTTAGTAGGTGAAGTTAGTTATTTCGTAATTCCAAATTGAATTCAAAGTATTTAGCTATCACGTGCACTGCTATCCAAAAGTGCTTACATTGTTTCATGAAAGGTGCTGCAGTGATATTACCCATAATATAATGAATAATGTTGAATGATGTTCTTTCAATGGCATACATTACATGTACAATGCATATGTAACATGTATTATAGTATATTACTCTCAGTACAACAAAGGCATTTTCTTCATCTTTATGAATATTTATAAATTTCACAATTCAAACCTAAACAAGAGGTTTCTATTGTTGATTGAATAACATTGGAACATTTTAAAATCACGTTGTGCACTGTGCTCATTGATTGTCTGGTTAGATTCTGCCATCAAAATTTATAAAGACGAAGGAAATGCCTTTGTTGCACTGAGAGTATTACAGTTTAGTAACAAGAATCATACTCCTCAATAGTTTTTTTTTTTTATTTCTAGGGTGGTGCCTACTTTGAGATATTCAGTGCTCAAGGCAAAGAAGGGGTGTCAAAATGGAAGTTGAGTGGTAGCACTTCTGCTATTAAAAAGGTAGGTTCAAGCCTGCTATTGTGTTCTAAAACAATTTGAGTGAACTGATGTCTACTTTGTTCATTATTGATAGAAAAGCAAGTATTTAGAATATAAGATTATTGTGAGAATTCAGCATTGTATGTGTTAGGACAGTGTTGCTGTATCAATCAATGCATTGAAGAGGAAGGTTGTAGGAATAAATTAGTGAAATTCTCATTGTGTTAGAAATCATGCAGATACTGAGGTACATTTTTACTTGATTTGATTCACATAAAAAAACAAAACAATACTGATGATAATCGTGTTTCACTCATCCCAAGTAAAATAGGAGACTTCAGAAAAAAATTGTGTCCAATTTACAGGAACTATTTTTGAGGCTAACATTAACCGGATTTTGAATGATCTCATATGTATATAGAATTATTATAGAACTACTGAAAAGTTGTAAACTTAGAAGACTGTATTTGTAATGATAATATATGTACCAAAAAAAAACTAAACCACCTGTTGTTTTCTTTGCAGGTTTATGATAAAGATGTCAAGAGTTATGTTTTTGTAGTTGAAGGTGAAGGCACCACTACAAAGATGCAGCTTCCAAAGGACAACAAGCAATCTTGTGAGTGTCTGATTTTGTCATTTAGGAATTGTGCCATATACTGTTCTTACAATAGATTAATGATGCAATCAACATGATTTGTATTATTTTTAGGAGGATGTATCGGTACATATAATGAGATAGTACTCACTAAATTAATAATTTATGGGGGGGGGGGGGTTTGATTTTAAGTTTTATGTATCACAGTTTCATCTTAAGAAACTTACAACATCATGATAGTTTCAAGTTCTCTGTACTTAACAATGTCCAGTAATATAACATGCCACCTACAGTAATGTCTTAAGTTCTACTCATTAAAAATGTTAACTGTACCTGATAAGATATGTTGAAGCACAGCTGATGATGTGTGTCAAATAAAGTTTTACAACACTAGTTTTTTATTTTTATTTTTGAAGAGCATGTCTGGATGAGTTCAACTAGACTACATATAGTATATTTTAGTACACATCTAGTTCATACTAAATTTCTGCATTGAAGTGCAGTCAAACCTGTGTTTGTGACCACCTGCCCATAATGACCACTTTTTATATAAAGACAACCTGCCCATTGTGACCACCTTTGTGCAGTCACACATGTGTTACATGTGAAGTGATCTGTATATAAACACCACCTGTTGAATTTGACCAGTGACCACCATTTTGGCACCAGTTGGTCAAATAACCCAGTGTTTAAAGGCCAAAATTATGGAAGATGATCACATGTTCACATGATTCAACTGTTCTATAAATACTACACATTAATTAAGATGTTTTGTTGTTCTTATTTCAACTTTCAGTACTACTTATTCAACGTTATTTAATTCTACAACTAATGGTTCCCTTAGGACATGATTTTTCCATAGAATTAAGGTAAATTGTAAAGTTTTGTTTGTAGCACTCTTGTACACATTTGTAGTACATTGTATGTAATTTTTAGTAATATACATATACAGAATTTACCTGTCTGTAAAACTCTGTATGGTCATGTTCAAAAGTGTTATGTACGAGTCGGAAAGTCTTCCTTATTTTATATTACGTGTCATGGTTACGTCACATTCAAATACTTTCCTAAAATTGTGTCACTAAATGCTAATATTTGTAAATTGCAAAATTTTTCATCTTTCATTTTCGGGCTCTCATTAAATTATTACTACAAACCAGGGAAAAGATGTATAATGATAATAAGGTTACCACAAAATATGCAGTCAGGCATATGGTAAAATATCAACTAAGAATAGGTTGATACGATCACCGTATTGTCTTCATACAAACTTTTGTGGTATTCTCGTAATAACCTCATATTATATTGTACTGTGACACTTCTCAATATCCAAATTTAAAAAGTGGTGTATGAAAACATTGTTTAATATCAGTGCAGAACGACTTGATAATTTCAAACATTTGGTGTGTGTTCACAAACAAAAAACAGATCCGTCAAACAAATATCTTTATTTTTAACAAGTAATCTCTCTATTTTCAGCATTAGCGATATGGGTAACAACAAGAGAAGACTGTTTTTATCATCATCACAAAAAGAAATATCTATAACTCCTCTCCATGCTAAGATACCTCTAAGTATACCTGTACTGTCAAGGGGAATGGTAAGTTAATAATCATTATGTAATAATCATTACTGTAAAATACTTTATTTTGGCTAGAATTAATTTTCACCGAATAGACTTTTTTGGTGTTTTGTATGGAATTTATTTTCACTGATGTTTGACGAGTTGAATGTAAAATATAGGAAAAACGGTATATTCGCTGTATTTCATTTTCACTAAATCACTTTTTCAGCGGAAATAGCGAAAATTAATTCCAACCAAAATAAAGTATTCCACAGTATGTCAAGTGATTAATTATTCATGAGGACGTTTTATTCTTACAAACAAATTGGTAAACAAAATCTAAAATAGCGACAGACTTAAGTATAAATTTCATTGTGTTGAAATCATTTTTACAGGCTTTGTTCAGGCGATAACAAATCACCAAAAATCACAGCAAAGTATATTGCAGTTGAGGTTAAAAATGTCTTTTTCGTCTGCATAACTTGTCATTTCATGCGCTGTAGTGTTCTTTTATTACGTAAAATATTAGTAAGATTCTGCTGTGACAAACGCTATATTTTCAAAATACTTTCACAGTGAATGCCATTGCTATAGGTTGGTATGCTTCTAATACTGACTGGCAAAATAAGTATTTCAGCTTTACATACATTTATGCATTTTTCTTGTGTTGTGTTGAGAATGTGCATATTTCTAATAAATTAAACAAATTTTTCGAAAATTTATCCACAATGCTAAATCTATTAAATGTTGTTTAGTGTCATTTATACATGTATGTGTGGTTATTATATGTACTCTATAACATCAGAAATAACTTACATGGCTACTTTTATTTCCAACCAAAAGTTGAAAGG